CCGGCAGCGGCGATGCCGACTCATGCCCTACCTAGAAAATCACACAAGCCACACATCTCTGACAGAGAGTTCGGGACCAGAGCCGATGGTGCACCACGATCATGCAGGTGAAGACGCACTATTGCATCGTAGTGCGGAGACTCGGCCAAGATTTCTACGTTTGCCCGATGATTTCCCTGCGACATTGCCGTCCCTGGAGGACTGCATTGCTGTATATACACATGCACCATCCATGCACTGAAGAACGCCCCAGTGTCTGCGTAAGCTCCCGCCGCCGCGGTGTGATAGTATAATGTTGAGCCCGATCCCGAGGTCCGAACATTCGCATGGTGGGTCGATGGGCAGCCTTTGGCAGATCCCACACCCCACGCTCAACAGCTTCCAAGTATCTATGCAGTGACTTCTATCTACGTCCTCACGACACTGCCATCAGTTTGTTCTGCTCCTGGGCCAACGTCAGGCCTTCCGGTGCTTGTCGGAATAGCACGATCTCGGATTGCTTAAAGTATCGGCGGGCGTCTGGATACAGGTCAGTCACAGTTGCGTAGAGATGTGCGTATGTCAAACCTTCGTCGATGAGTACTAGACTCAAGTAGTATCGGGTGGAGTACTTCTTGTTGACTTCGCGGAAGGTGGGTGTCAGGTCGAAGCCTCCGAGGAACAACCTGATGGGGATTGTTTCACCTTGACGTCGTCAGTAATGCCTGTCGCGAAAGACTCACGATGCTTACCTCGCGACGGTGAGCCGTCCATGATCTCGAAGCGCACCAGGGTCTCGCTCTCGTTGTACTGGTTGGGAGCAGCCCCCGTTGTCTCTCTTCTTATGATGGACAACTCCATGTGCTTGATCTTTAACCGTACCAGCAAGAAGTATATCCTGCCGACGATCACGTCCTTCAAGTGGTATTTCGATTTCGAGTACTCGAACTCAATGTGCAGGCAGTCTTCGATACCGACGTCCATCTTAATGGAGCTGTTGGTCTCAGGCGGTATCCGGTAGGAGTAGACCCAGAGGTCCTTCTCTCTGACTACATCTGCCATTCTCCGCGACACGGTGACGCGCACAAAGTAGCGCAGCTTGACGTTGATGCCATTGTAGGATTCGTATTGCTTCTCGACGTTCTTGAAGTTAAAGTCGAACGTCTGCGGGTGCTGGAGCTCGCCAGGGGCTGCTAGCTCTTGGCCGAGGGAGAGGAACTCGTAGTGGTTTCCGCGGTCGAAGAACATCTCTGGCGCATTATGTCAGCACTGCGCGCCGAGATATAGCTATGGTGAAGCTCCAGGACGGCGGATGCCTACCAATGGTGCCGATGAATTGCACCTTGATGCCCGTGTGCTCGAGGCGCTTGCCATCCTTGGGCCTTACGGTGACCTGGCCCTTGACTGATTCACCATCCAGGTACAGCGGGACCTTCTCTTTGCGGTTCTTGTCGAGCTTGACATCAACGGCGGAGCGGTCGTCGAGGTCCTCGAGCACGATGTCGATGTCGACCGGGGTGGAGAAGAAGTACGACATGCCGGGCCAGAGAAGTGCCGGTGGATTGGCGCGTGTTCGGAAGCGGTATCAGAGGCACTCGTCGCGTCGGTGGTCGGCGGCGCTCGACTGGGTGGCCGTGGTGTGGAGAGCTGCGCCCCAGATCCATGGCAACAGCTGATGACGCTTGTCCCCGTTGAGACCGTCACGTGAGCGCATCCTGCCCCGCCTTCCCCGATGCCTCACCAACACCACCTCGTCATATTCACCCCCAGGTATCCTTGTTTTACTCTTCACTGGGTCCACGTCACGTCTGACTGCTGCTCTCGTCGGGTCAGATGGTCCTCCACATGCCCCTCCCGAGCCTGCGGAGATAGGCACCTGCATACGAAACAGCAAATATGCACTCGTTTGGCGGTGAGCTGCACACGAGCAGCTGCAATATCGCGGCGTCGTGACTGATCGGGACTGTCTGCACGTCTGGCTCAAACGTTCTCACCCGTCTGGACTATCCGGAGCATCTGCCGGGTGCCGCCCCAAAGACTAATCGACTAATCGCAACTCAAAGACTGTTCGCAGCCTCGATCCTCGCCGGCCCGATGCACTTTCAGATTCCTCGCCTAACCCCCACGCGCCATTATCAAACAGCTTCGTACCGCGAGTCAAAGCGGTGAGCTGAAGTCTATTGCTTCCAGGCAGAAATCCAGTCGAATCGCAATCTACTCAGCAGAGCGGCCTGCAGTTGCCTGGCGTTCAGAACTCAAGTCTGCGCTGGCATGTTGTGGTCACCGGCATGCGGGATGCACAAGTACCTGAGAAGGACTGGGGTCCTCATGCGGGGAGACTGATGCGCTACTCGTCATCCCACACGCGACAGGTCCACTTTCAAACGCCGAAGTTCTCTCTCTCCAGCCCCGGCTTCGCGGCTGTTACAGCCGGCTGGGCCTGTTACTGAAACTAGCTACACGCCCTTGCTCGCCATTCGCTGTTTGCTTTTCGGAGCGTGCCATCGTGGCTTGGCTCCCAGAATAACGACAAGCTCCATCGCATTTCACCCTTGCCGTTGCCGTCATGGCTTGCGGGAGAAATTTCCAGACCAGTATTCCAAGGTCCCACGCCTTAAAACGCACCACGCCCCAGCGCGAATCGGGGCGCCGTTGATTGCTTACAGTCTGCATACACTTATATTTGGTCCCGACCATATCGCAATATACTATATTAACCCTACCCGACACCCGTCCCTTTGTTTTCGGGAGCCCAACTCAAGCATTAGCGTCATACAAGAGCCTCACGTACTACAAACACTCATTTCCACAACAGTTTGACTCAAACTCCAAACTCTGTACCACCATGATGCAAACCGTCGATCTATCGCAGCCAAAGCCCATACAATATGCATCACCACCTACACCACCGGCTTCCAATACAGGCTCGCCATCCAAGTCCATGGCTGTCATGAACGAGACCCAGACCGCCAAAATGACCATCTCCACCCACCACCACATTCTCATCGTCACCGGTCCAGCAGGGTGCGGCAAGAGCACTGTTGCAAAGCACCTCTCAGACCGATATGGATTTGACTACATCGAGGGCGACGAGGTTAGCCATACCCTCTCGATCTATCTAACGCATACTGACGTCTTCGCAGTTTCACCCAAAAGCAAACATCGACAAGATGGCCGCCGGCATCCCTCTCAACGACGAAGACCGCTGGGACTGGCTCATCCTTCTACGAGACCAGGCCATCACTGCACTGAAGAACGGAGCCAAAGGCGTCGTCGTCACTTGCAGTGCGCTCAAGAAGAAGTACCGCGACGTCATCCGCACAGCCCGCCTCTACGACGAAGACCCAAACGCCAACGTACACTTCGTCTACCTCCGCTCTGACATGGAGACCCTCCTCGCCCGCGTCCGCGCCAGACAGGGCCACTATATGAAGGACGCCATGGTTGAGAGCCAGTTCGCTGCGCTGGAAGAGCCCGATGAGACGGAGTGCAAGCAACTGAAGGATGTGGAGATCATCGACGTCAAGGGCAGCATACAAGACGTTCAGCTACTAGCCGGTGCTGCTGTTGACAAGGTTCTTGCGCAATAGCACGACGCCTGTAGCATCAGCTGGCTCTGATCTCACCTTTCGTTACGTCTTCTTCTTTTTCTGGTCGGTGTTGGGCGAGTGCGCAGGAACGCTGTGCGTGGGTTGTGGCTCCTTGGTTTACTTAGTTACGGCGTTCTATCTATATCACTATACCCTCGCGAGACGGGACAGCATACATGGTTTGCGGAAATGAACAGTTACGACTTCACAACTTCTGAGCCTTGAAATGACCTATCGTGACTACCCACAGCCAATCTTTTCCCCTGCATCCCATGACATCGGTCGGAAAGATCTTCTTCTTGTCTCAGCCTAATGCTTGTCGGTTCCTTAGTGCCCGTTTTTACACGTTGCGATCGAACTTCCGGTGTGTGCGGATCTACCTCCTAACCCCGCTCTTCGTTACCAGCAAAGGATGCATGATGGCCCGCGGCCTATGTAGCTTGGACCACTTCACGACGATGACTAGATCTCCACTGCATTAACGGCTGTCTTCAGTCTTGGCCAAACATGACAGCTCTACGGTTGACGCTCTCGTTTACCGACTTCGTTTTGTAGGTTCGGCCTACACCATGATGCATGATGCATGATGCTAGGATATCTTTTTGCCTACATTACCAGAGTTGGAGGACGCATGGTGCAGATCAGATACAGTCAATAACGAGCACGATTAGCCACGAGTATATGAGCAATTGCGCTTATTGCGCGGGAAGCGCTCCAGATGACTCAGACTTGAGGATGAGTCTGACACCAACGTACGGAGATACGAGACTGGGAAGACGATGTGGTCATGAGCACAATTCGAAACGTGGTAATGGTTGAGTACTAATGCCATCTCTAAACCCCCTTCCCAAGCCTCGGTAATGAATCTGAACGCTGTGGAAGCGATTCTCTCTCGACGGTAATGTCAACTCCTTTCCCTCCTCTATCCATAGGCCTCAACTCCGTCTCACTACCCCACTCATTACTTCCCTTCCTATCCTGCTCACTGCTCGGCAACCTCAACGTAGTGTTCCGACTCCACCTATGCATACTATACACACGCCAAGATCTGCTTTGTGCTCCCGATGAAGCGGGTTGTGCAGAACCATATACCGGTGGCTTCGAAGGACCCGGTTGTGTCCGCCCCATCTTGCCATTAAGCAAGTACCTGAACGCGGGCAGTGTAGCAACAATTACGGAAACCGATGACTCGATGTGACTCAACATGCTGAGTAGCACGGGCCCATCAGCAAGGGTCGTTGGATCAGGGTTCGAAGTAGCCTTGGTGACTTGCGCAAGCCGTGCGAAAGCGAAGGCGATGATGATGGTGCCGAGGGAGAATATAACTGCCAGCCCGAACTTTTGTTGGGGCGAGACTTGTAGTTTGCGCAAGAGGTTTAGAGGGAGGAGCATGATGAGGGCGTCGGCAATGACGTCTGCGCTCGTTGCGAACTAGATGGATGCGTCGGCTCGGATGAGGTCTTCGGGGTCGCTGCATCCGGCTATCCAGGTTAGAAAGGTTTGCGGAGGAGGGTGGGGTGGAATAATACTGACTTGCGCTCCAGTACTTGGATAGGGGTCGGCAGGTTAGGAAGTTGGAGGCGATGCATGCGAGATACAAGAGGAGGACTAGTACAAAGGACGCCCACCATGCGCGCATGTATACTGGCAGTCCTATTACCAGACGTCTGAAGAAGAACAGGATGGAGAACTTGGCTAAAGTGATATAATATTAGTAAGACACCCTGCTCACCAGTTTAGCAAGCCAACTCACCAGCCCACAGTGTAGTCCAAAACAACAGCATCTGGCTGAACATGAACTTGAGTGACGTACGCGTCCTCTCGATGAATTCATCCGGCGGTAGCGGCAATGGCGTGAGCGGATCCAATATAGCCGCTTTTGAGTATTCTTGCGCAAGGAAGAACTGCGGTAGCAGACATGTGATAACTGCGGAAAGGGCAGTCAAGGAGAACAAGCCGAAGAAGACGAAGTAGTCGTCTGCGAAGAGTCGGTGTTGAGACTTCCATCGCAGAAAGCCCCTAAGGGTTGTGCAGAGGAATGATACAGCCCAAAGGGTCCATATCAATTGCTGTCGAGGAGTTAGAGCTGTGAACCGTATTGCTGTTGTTGTTCGACTTACCATCAGATCGGTGTAACTGAGCGCCATCGTGATCTTGACTCAGTATGTCCACAGTAGGAGGACAATACTGCAACCCGAGTGGCCTTATTGCGAGATATGTATCTAGTATTAACATCGTGGTACATGTCGCCTTCATCTCTATCCCAACACCAAGACTCGCATTCGCATCCGGCCCCATCCTGGTTTGCATCGCGAAGCCTGATCTATGAGACGGTGGGTGCCGCAGATACGCCGTTTCCTACATGGTAGTCTTCGATGATTCCGTCCGTACATGGCGTGCACTCGATGGGGAGCCAAGTTCAACCAGTCGATACGGGTTGAACGGCGAGGTACAACAGCGCATGCAGGTGGCGGCAAAATTACGGCCCAATTCTTCCAAGCTGACTCTGCATGAGATTTTGTGTTGCTCGCATTACGAGCATCCTACTGAAGTAGCACCTCCGGTACCATAACTTGGTCTCGGCCCTTTTCGAAGCCATCGTCCTAGGTTCCGCGGTGGCCGAACCGATCTCGCGGGTGGACATGGTGCGATCATGTTGTATCTTCCTTCCCGATTAAGCTTATCGTGAAGCATATTAATGAAGACGTTGGGCGATACACCGTTTATTCATAGGGAATGCATGAGTTGTATTGATAGAGCTTTGTACACAATCGCCGAACCAGATCGTTCAGATCGTTCATCATGCATCGGCGACCTTCCAACCACCAGGCATGAGGTTAGTGTACACCTTGAGAGGGTCATACTTGGTACGAATAGTCTTCAGCCTCCTCAAGTTGGCAGCGGGATAGCTCTGGAAAATGGGCTGGCCCTTCCCGGCATCGTTCATGTAGAGATAGTCAGCGCTGTACGATTCCGCGCGCAGCAAGCTGTTTATGCTCGCTGTGATCTCATCAGCAGCATCGCACACTTTCGCGTCATCGCTCACGGAAGACCAGGTGAAGTTCTCCACCATCCAAAAGAAGGGTGCTTTCGAGACATCGATACCTTGAGGGTTGCCTCCGGTCTTCGCGCTGTGCGAGAGGAATGCCTTCGTGATGGGCTGGAAGGTAATCGAGGCCTGGAGATTGGCAACACTGGGCAATTTGGCGTTGACGCCGGAGACGAAGGTGTCGTGAATGAGCTGCACGGCCTTTCGGTCAACAACGGACGAAAGTGTGCGGAATTCCTGGCGCAGTCCCAATGGCTGCAGGGCATCTGTAGCTGAGATGTAGTCTGACAACGGCTGCAATGCGTATGAATCAGCGACTGGGGTGAGCTTTGGCACAGTGAAGTTCTCGAATACTTTCGGGTTGTCAGTGACGGAGTGGTAAAACTTCGCAGCCGCATAGACAGTCATGTTCGCAGCCGGGAAGGTAAGAATAGTCGGAATGATGGCAGCTTTTGGGTCAGACCCTCCATATTTCCCAAAGTTGTACACGCCGTCCAGGTAGCCGGATGCCTGAGTCTGATCGAATTGACCGATGCCGACGTGAACGTCGCTGCCCTCCACCGGTCGCAAGTCAAATCGTGTGACGATGCAGAACGAGTTACCGCCGCCCCTCAATGCCCAGAAGAGATCTGAGTACTTATTCGTTGCCGTCGCCTCAACGATTTGGCCACTTGAAAGCACACACTACCCATTTTTAGTCGTGTATAACTTTATACAGAACATTGGCGACATACCTCATACTTCATAACATTGTCGGAAGCGAATCCGTACTCCGATGAATAGAAAGAGATGCCGCCGCCGAGCAACAAGCCAGGAACACCAACGTGACCCACACGACCACCGACAGCTGCGAGCCCAGATGGTTTCAGATAAGCGTAAACGTCTCTCCACCTGTTCCCGGGTCCGACAGAGACGACAGACTTGTCTGAGGAAAGTGACAAGGTCGTCAGATTGGAAGAAGAGATTAATACGCCGGAGCCATCAATCCCGTTGTACCCAGGGATTGGCATATGCCCTCCACCTCGCATGGCAAATTTGGAACGTGTCAGGGTCATTGTGGTGACCGCGTAGGCAACTTGCTCGGCATTCTGGGGAACGAAAACGCATGCAGGGTTGCTGTACACCGTGGCTGACCAGTATGCTGTGAATTGTTAGTGAAGATCGTGCCGAATTTTCGAGGATGTTATCATACGCTCTTGTGTCTCATATAAGTAGCCGGAAGCTTCAGGCCAGAAGGTACTGTCGGGGTATTTAGATCTCAGCTTAGAGCAGGCGGCCTGCTCTCCACCAGAGAGGCTTTGTGCCGCATCTGCTGCGATGGATGGCACAGCAAACAGCAAAGCTGCGACGCCTGCCAGTAGTACCATTCTGAATGTAATGGGAGGATAGCAAAAGGTGAACCTGATGGGCACCAATGGGCGAATGTTGATGGTTATGAGGAATTTCGGACGGATATAACCATCCGCCTGCGCGGCTCAAATACATCTGGATGCATATTGATCCAGCGCACCTGAATCTCCCGGATACCGGGGGTGTTGCCCATTGAGGAAGAAGGAAGGGCCGTATGCATGTCCAGCACGTAAACTATGCAGTAGATCGCAAGCGAAGCAGTCGTGCCGCCCGTGTGTACGAGGTGGGCCTTCGCAAATAGTCTAGACACCGGGGCATACACCAGGGCAGACTCCAGAACCTGGACCTCATGAGCAAGCCGCAATGCAGCAAAAAAAAGGACGTACGAGAACTCATGGGCCAAACGCGATGGGCGGTTGAAGAGGCAAGGGATGCAAGGATGAGAATACGCGCTGTACGGCGCGGGCGAGCTCAAAAACACCCCTCATCCTCCGATGATCATTTAGCGCGGATGCCAAGGCTGACGACGTTTGTAGGCTCGATCCCGAGGTTGCTCTTACCTAGGTAACGACACATCAACGCTTCGCTCTTCGCATGCGAACATCCATTCTCTTGGTCTCGAATACTGACGCTCCATCATCACTGCACGCATCAATTCCATGACAATGTCAACGAGGCATAGCAGACGCGTCTTGCGCGGCCCAGCTTCGCCGCAACGCGTGACGTCACAGCCTTGAGCGGGCATATGTCTTTCAGATGATGGCCATCAACAACAGAAGGAGGCTGGATTATGCAACAGACAAAAATTGAGGGAGGCCTCTGGGGAATTGTATTCGGCGTCGAATCAGCCTGGGACTGTTGCCTTGCGCATCCTGGGTTTGTACTACACGCACGCGCCACACAGCCACACTATTGGGCCATTCACTGAGCGGAATGGCGCGTGGTCTTCCAATGCATGAAGCAGAAGAACATATCAGATATGGCGTGGACTTTTCAGTGTACTCAGCCTTGTTTTTTTGCAGACAGCGACGCCCATGTCGCGGCGAAGTGATGAGGCGGTGGGCAATCGCTGCGCAGCCCTGGAGTGCTCAAGTGAAGGTGAAGTCTGTTTGCCTGTTTAAGACAACAACAACGCGCACAGTCGAATTTCACCTCTTTCAAGCGAGCATTTTTCTTGCGTCGTACAGAGATTTCGTCCACCGTCTTTCGTCTTTTCCCCCACCTTAGACTACCGCTCTCGCTACCACGACACCACACTTTCTCCTCATCGTTTTTGGTCGCGACTGTTGCTATCCCATCTTTGCTACTGGGTTAACACCCTGAATGTTATTCTGCATTCTGAATAGACAGACCGGATAGCTGAGCCCATTAGGTACGTGGGGTCCGTCGCGCCTGCAGCGCAAGTGCTACTCGCACAGCAGATACCTATACCCTGAAACATGCTCCTTTTCAGGCAAGGTTACACAAGCTGACTCATCTATCATATAGTGTACTCACTGTGGTGTCTACACCATGGCGTCGGCAGCGGCTACGGCCTACGCCTATCACCATTTGGTACTTCCTCCGAAGCTCCCGCAGCAGGACGACCGCAACGCCGCGCACGACTTGACTCTTGTCGATATCGCCATTCACGCCCTTGAGTCTCTGAAACCCTTTGTCAACAGCGAGCATGTCGGCTCAGTCGAAGTCGCCGTCATAACAGTCAAAAATCTTCGCAGGTGCCGGGACCGCCACGGCAATAACTGTGAAGGTCAAGTTCAAGACGTTCTTGCCAATGTCGCAAACGGCGTCGCTACTGGTAAAGTTCCACTGGAGATTAAAGAGCAGAATGCCGGGATTCTTATCAGCCGATCTTCAGACAACTTGGTCTTCGAGTTCTTCGAGCTTTCTCCTACGAACGAGGCGGCTATGCATCCAGGCCGACTAGTACGAGAGTTCCCTGCCCATGCATCACAGATACCTATCGGAAAGGTCAACCCCGATCTTATCGAATCGATCTCCAGGACCATAGCTACAATGACGACCCAGACAGCTCCTGGCTTCCAGCCCAAGATAACCAAAAACAACAAGAGCATGGACGAACAGCGCGACACGACGCATCCCGGCATGACAACCGACTTCTTTTCGAACCTTATCGCTGCTTTCGGTGAGCCGACAGATGTACGCCATAGCACGAAATATACCCGGGAAGAGGTTCTTTGGAATGACTGCTTTGCACCATGGCGACGGTCCCCATTATGGCTCTTATTACGCGTATCGCTACATCTACTGTTCTCCCGACAAGCACCTTCCAGTCTCCATGCCGACGGTCTGTACAAAGCCTTCATGATCTTTATGCTATCACGATTACTCGATCTGGGGAAACAGCACTGGAAAGATATGGGTAGCGAGGCGATTCATATCACATTAGCCAAGTTATCCCGACGGCTACGCAAGTTCGAGCTTCTCAAGCAAGAAGGGTACCTACAGCCAGGCTGGGCACAACATATTCATGACCGGATGCTTAACGCCCACAAATTCATCAACCAGCACTGGCAGGATCAGATCGACAACTCTCAGGCCAATATCGACTTCAGCACCGTTGCCCAGCTCAAGCCTAAGGCCGATGTCGACATGAAACTCTCCGGGTTAGATGCATTCTTGTTGGCGGTCACGTCTCGTCAGCGAGAAGTCTCGTCGTCTACCTTCACTCCCACTTCCGGGTATCCATCTTATCCAGCTACTCAATTACCGGAAAGCATAAAGTCG